AAAAAAAAAAAAAAAAAAAAAAAAAAAAAAAAAAAAGTAGGTGCACAGAGTAGCCAATAGGTAGGAAATAGGGTGTCAGAAAGGTAAGAATAGTTCCTCTCATTGGCCCAACATCTGGTCCAGACCAGGAGGAGGTCTCTTGTGCAGGGGTTAGTCAGGAGGGGGGCATATATGGAGTGTCTGACATTTCCATACAGAGCTATGGCTTCACAGCAAAGCCTTGGAACATAAGCTAATTCTTGGATTTCTGAAACCTGATTCCTTACTACCAGGGGAAGTCTGGCAGCCACAGCCATTAGCACCACGGACAGCGGCAGCACTGTCGGGTGCACCCCGGGGAAAGGCTGGACTGCAGTTGCTCAAGGAGCAGACAGACACTGGGGAGACGGAGTTTTGATAGAATCACAGAATATTTTTGTACTGCATAGATAAGGCTTAGCTAGACTCACTGTCATTTACCTCTCCCCTGTCCCACCAAATGGACAGGGTCCTGGAGGGAGGTGACCAGGTGAGAATGATGGTATATACATACCCTGCAGGAGTGCACAGAGATGACCGAGGTCCTGGCAACACTGTGGTACTGTGTTTCCTGAATTGCCTGCCTTGTCTGTGTCTTCAGGGCCAGGATGTGTCTTCAGTGCCTGGCACCTATCGAAGTAGCTGCCCAGTTAATGTTGGTGCAATGGAAGGATGAGCCCTACTCCATGGCCAAATTCTACATCTACAAGAACAAAGGTCTGAGTCTCCCTCTACGGGAAATTCATACAGTCTCAGATAAGCTACTGAATCAAAAACCTGCTTTCTGTAGGTCTGCTGTCAGAACATAAAAACTTGCTTTATTAACAGGAAATTTGCTTTATTAACAAGGCTGCCAAGAAAAAAATCAAATATCCCTATCTTTTTGGTGGTTTCTGGGACTGTTGGTGGCTTGCTGTGCTGTCCAGGGAAAATATACCTAGCCTGGGCTTTCCTGCGTCATTCTACTCCATCCCGGGGCCAGCAGAGAAAAGACAGGATCTTTGCCTGAAGAACATACAGCCTCATAGAGGGAAAAGCCACTCAGGGAAGACAGGATGTTGCCAGGGCCATTTGAGGGTTGCCGTTGTCACATGTGCCACCCCAGCCCTGGAGCACAGGTAGTTTGGGGGAGGCAAGGTCCACATTGGCAGATGTCATCAGGAAGACAAAGGAGGGGATTGGGAAAGTAACATGCACAGACTTCTTAGCTAGCGAAGGGCAGAGTGTTTCTGATTTCAGCTGGATCCCCATATCTTGCACATAGGAGGCACTCAATAAATACCTGCTGCATGAATAATTGCCTACTAGAAGACTGAGAAAAGCCTACTAGGGGACTGACGGACAGTGTGGCTTGAATGGTTGGTTCTCTGGCTGGCATGGTGTGGAATCAGGCTGGGTCAGTGTGGGAGGACCAGCTTAAATCACTTTCACCTTGAGTTTCTGATAAAGCTGCTGTCTTTTGCAGTTGGGGGGTGTTGCAGGGGGCTTGGGCCTTAGAGGAAGCAGACAGACCCAGAGGTCTATGAAAACTCAGCCAGGGCCAGTCCCCCGGAGGATGGGTAATTAGGGCTCCAGCTGCAGTCTGCAAGAGGGCCCGGCGAGGCTTTCTGGGGCTGGCTGACCCTCTTGACTAGAATGTGTTGCTGCTGCTTCTGGGTTAATGGGCCTGGTGGGCGCTCCCTTATTGGCCATTGAGTAGGGCTGTGTGAACATCTTCAGACGCTGGGAGTAGAGCCTTCTTCCCCCACCCCTTCAGCTGTGAGCATCTCAGGCACTGGAACTGGAAGTGGAAACGGGCCTTGGGTCACGGTGGCCCAGCCTCTCAGAACAGCAAGAACCTGTGTACTCAGCCCCCTCGACTGTGGGGCACTAGTTCCTGCCTGCAAGGACTGGGAAAGGCTGTGGTATCCACATCACACAGAATACACAGCTCAGCCCCCAGCACAGAATAGAAATTATTATTTCCCTTATCTTTCTTTAGAGTGATCACTGTATGAACATATGTGAAAGACTGAGGGGCTGGGGGCTGGGTATGCAAAGAAAAGTACAGAGCGAGGCTTACTATACTCTCTCCAAAAAGTCCAAAAACGGTGTATAAAGAAAATGGAGGTGCAAGACAGAATAATAACCATTTGTGGGGGCATGGGCATGGAGGAAAGCTTAGTGGGCAAGGCGTCACGTGCAACGTACTGTCTATACCAGCCCCACGCAAACCCTCTGCTCTGTACAGACCAGCCTCTTCACTGGGCCCCAGACACCGCTTGGATGGCGCCACCTCCACTAGCCACCCAGACTTCTCACAGGTTCAAATCTCACCTGTCCTTGAAGCTTCTGCTCTGTTCTTCATCCTGGGACAGGCTTTCCCATGTGCTGTGGCCACAATGACTTGCTTTCAGCAACATCTTCCTGTCTGGAACTCCCTGTCTACGCCACCTAAATAGATACCTTACGTGGCTGCCTAGATGCTTTCTGCCTGTTAGTCTTGTCCCTCCAACCAGACTGTAAGCTCTTTAGCAAGAATTTCATCTTCCTGCCTCCCACCCCCCCCACCCCATCCTGGCACAGCATGCTGCATATGTAGGTGCTCAATAACATTCTTACTGAGAGGATAAATGAGCAGATAAATGAAGAAATAAGAACAGAAAGAAGAAAGGAAGGAACAAAAGAAGAAAAGGAAGAGAGAAAGGAAAGAAAGAAGGAAGGCAGGAAGGCAGGAAGGCAGAAAGGAGAACCACCTGGTTTTTGCAAAGGCTGATAGGAAACTTCATGGCCTGTAAAGTTGGCGTTCCTTCTTTTCTCTCCTTTCTTACTCTTCCCCCGTAAAGAGTTTCTTTTAAAAATTTTTACTTTTTGAGCAAACTAAGACATGAGATATCATCTGTGTGAAATTGTCAAGCAATATAAAAGTAATTAAGGATTATATTTATATATATATTTCACATTTTATTTATAATTATTATAAATATATTATATTGTATAAATATTATATTATAAATATAATTATAAATTATATTTATATTTATTTTTATATGTGTAATTATATTTTATATTTCACTTATAATAATATTTTATATTTATTTATTGAACACTTACTATGTCCTCGAGATAGTTCCTGCCCTTGGAAGCTTACAGTCTGGGTGGGAGATGAGAGTAACACACGCATGAAGGCTTCAGCCAGAACCACTTAGTGCTGGGAGCTCCAGATCTGGAGAGACACATGTCTGGGATCCCAGCACCACCTGGGGCAACTCCAGCCTTCCATTTAGAATTGGGAAACCACACACACAGTAACACTTGTAAATATATAGATTTATCTCAGTTTCCTTACTGTTTAACAGGTGCACATATCTCATAGTGCTGTGTTCATTTATATCATTAATATATCTAAAACTCTTAGCATAGTGCCTGGCACATAGTTAGTGCTCAGTGAATATTACCTCTTATTATTACTGTTAACGATATCAAACTGTTATTGAATTTCTGTTATTTGAACCTAGTCAGTCACTAAGAACTTCAGGCATTGGCTTATCCCAGCTTTCTCTCTCGATTGTTGATTTCCCCTCCCTAATGTAACGGTTTTATTAGCAAGTAAACACACTCAAGTTTCTCCTCTCTTTAACCTCACCTGCTTGATCTCCCGCAGCCTTTGGCTACTGCTCCATTTCTCTGTCCCTTTCTTACTCAGGTTTCCCCAGAGCTGTTTACACACATTGTTCCCAGTTTCTCACGTCACATCCACTCTTCAATGTGCTGTCGTCCAACTTTTCCTCCCACTTCTTACCTGAAAAGGATCTTATTAAAGTCTTTGAATTAGTCTCTCCCCACTCCACTCTCGTTCCCAAGGCTACAAATATCATCTGTATCCTGAAAACTCTCTTGTGTATATCTCTGCTCTTTACCCCACCGCTGAGTACAACACTCACGCCCACGCCCACGTGACGTCTTCATTCAGATATTTCACGGGCATCTCAAAGTTAACGTTCACCACACTGAGCTCACAATCCCTTCCTCCTCCCATCCCCCACAACAGATTGTTCTTCCCCAAATATTCCTCTTCTCATGTTCATTCACACAGTTCCTTAAGCCAAATCTTAGGAGCTAACCTTGATTTCTCCCTCTTGTTCTCTTCCCTTAACTTCCTTCTCAAATCCAGCAGCAAGACCCATGGTCTCCATGTTCAAAATGTATCTGGAATTCACTCACTTCTCCTCTACAATCCCAGACCAAGCCACCATTATCTTTTGCCTGAATTATACGATAACCTTCAAACTAGTTTCCTCATTTCTATTCCTTCCCCCATATCCATTCACCACACAGCAGCCAGGTTGGTCTTTGCAAAATGTAGATCAGCAGCAAGACCCATGGTCTCCATGTTCAAAATGTATCTGGAATTCACTCCTCCTCTACAATCCCAGACCAAGCCACCATTATCTTTTGCCTGAATTATACGATAACCTTCAAACTAGTTTCCTCATTTTTATTCCTTCCCCCATATCCATTCACCACACAGCAGCCAGGTTGGTCTTTGCAAAATGTAGATGGCATCATGTCATTCCCCTGCTTGAGCTCGTTCAGGGGTTCTCAGCTGCACTCAGGATGAAATCCATACCCTTTAATGCAGGCTCCAAGGCCCTGCATAATCTTGCCCTGTCTACCTCCTTGACCTCATCTCATGCTACCCTTCCCGATGGGGATATGTCTCTAAAGGACTTACGGTCTAGTTGGGGGCAAAGGTCTAATATGGAGAAAGCATGTCAACAAACAACCATGCCCTACAGCAGAGGTTTAGGTGAAGATCCAAGTGGTACAGGTAGAAAGAGATGGAGGGAGTTGAAGGAGTCTTGTAGGACAACTAGACTGGAAGGGACTGAGACTCTATTGTTCACAACTGCACACTCAGCACATGGCTCAGTGCCTGGCATACGATAGGGGTCAATAAATATTTCTTGAACAAATAGATGACGCAATACATGAATGAGTGAATGACGTCATTCCCTGCCCCACTGGGGCTCACAGCCTCATGGGGGAGGCTAGCAAGTAAACTAATGGTGGCAGGGGTATGTACATTCAAAGTACTCTAAAGAGTACATGGGCAGGAACTGCCCACTCTGCTTGGGAGGGGTCAGGACAGATGTCAGACAAAGAGGTGACACTTATCTGGGACTTGAAGGATAATTATGAATGAGTTTAGAGAGATGAGTAGCAGACAGGCATCCCACGTTAACGACACTGTAATGCAGGTGAAGAGTGGGGCTCATTGCTGGTGGAGGCCATTAGAGCACCAGACAAGACAAATGTCAAACTATATGTCACACAGAGCAGAGCTTTGTCAGGAGAGAAAGTAGAGATGACTGATTGGCACATAGTAGGTTGTCAATAGACATGGGTAGAAGGAATGCCAGCTGGATTACTAAAGGCAATTTAGGGCAGATTTGAGTCTTGACTGGGCTTTGAAATACAAAACCACTGTCTAAATGAAAGACAATATGCTAATGAAGGTCATAATTAATATTGATGAGAAGATGGTCATTGATGACGCAGATCACTCAGGAGGAGCAGAAGCCAGGCAGATGAGGAGGTGTGTTAAACACTCCAGCAGGTCACTCTGTCTGGCCCTGCCACCGTGGGTGGGAGGGAGGGCAGGGGAAGGACCTCATGACTCACACAGTGCTGGGTGGAGGTGCCTGCTCTGACTGTGGCTGTTCCTGCTACCTGGTGGAAGGCTGGCCTTGGGAGGAAGCCCTTCATCCCTGCAAGGCCAAAGTGCTCCCATGAATGCTGACCCCCAGAAAGCGTTGCTTTGCCTGTGGTCTATGAAGGTGAAATACTGGGTCTCATACATTTGCCACTTTTTGCTTTTTCCTTGCCTAGATCCCACACTGGCAAAAACATCGAGACTGAGACGGTGGTCTGCAGGGCTGAAGAATTCAAATGGAGCAAGTGCCTGCCTGGAAAATGTTTGTCCAGGTGGATCTGGTGACTGGGAATACTCTAGGCAGCCTTGGTAGAGGACAGAAAGCTGGAGTAGGGTGGTCTGGAGAATGCGAGGGATAGGACAGTTTTTTTCTTTGCTTTAGAGAAGGATGGAGTATGTGAATGATCTTTGTGTATCTTTCTTTTTTTTAATCATAACCCCCCTGTGCCACCCTGCTTGCTGCTCATATGTTTTTCCTTAATGGCATAAGCATGGCTGTGGAGGTCTAAAGCACCAATAGTTAATAATAATAGCTAACCTTCTACTGAGCCAGCTGTTGTTCTTAGACCTTTACATTAAATAACTTCACTTAATCCTCTCAATAACAGGGCAGTAAGCACTTTTTCTCATTCCCATTCTACACACATGGAGATTGAGGCTCAGAGAGGTGAAGCAATTCATTCAAGGTCACACCGACAGGAAGTTGTAGAGCAAGGATTGGAACCAGGAGTGTGGCTCCTGGAATCACCTGTTCTAGAGGTGGCCCTGGGGCAGGGAGGGGAGGAATACCGAGACCCAGGAAAGCAGCAAAGAATGAGGTCAAGAGTTAGCTGTTGAAGCTGTGTCCACTGCCAGGTTCTGAGAGCCCCTGGTCCGGGTGTGAGAAGATTCCAGCTCTATCATCTGGGTGGAGGACACTGGGTAAGCATCTACATGTTCAAAGTCTTTGTTTTCCCATCTGGACGATGAGGATCACTACTCCACGGGGCTGTTGTGAGGAGGAAATGAAGGAGCACATGCACGGTGCCTGGTGCAAAGCAGGTGCCCAATAAATATGAGTTCCTTCTCTTCCTTCTCTTCTGGGTAAAGTTGGCTTCAGGCTAGGCTCAGTCATTCTTTCCACAAATTTGTACTGAGGGTCCACCGGATGTCAGACCTTCTGCTGTGCGCTGGGAAACACACCAATGAAGGAAGAGGCTGAAGCAACATGGGGTGGCATGGGGAAATGACCCAGAGTGACGAAAAAGGATTTCTAACTAACCCACAAGAACACAATGCCTGATAAATAAATGTTCTTTTTAAAGCAATAGCCACAGGAGGGCGCGTGGGTAGTCCAGAGATGCCAGTGCTCCACCAAACACTGACCTCAGCCCTTGGACTCTCTGCCCAGGCCAGCCCCAGTGCATTTCCTATGCCAGCAGTTACTGGAGCAGGAGCCTGCCTTTTAGAAAACCACATATCAGGAAAAAAGAACGACCTGCTAAAGTCACACAGCTACTCAGGGCAAGAGTGGAACCAAAAGCCCAGGCTTTTGATTTCTGATTGAAGGTCTTCTCGACACAGGGGAGTGTCTCCCATCCTTCCTTTATTCCCACATGCTTCATTGGAGATAAGACAGTTCTGCTCTAATCTGGAGCCATAGCTTATTCAAGACTTTGGCTCAGAATGGCTTGAGACTATTTCTTAAAACAACTAGACCAACCTAAGGAGCAGGGAGCTGAGGCTGTCCAAGGGAATGTGCCCGTGCATCTGCCGGCTAGTGGTGGGGCTCCAAGGTTACAACTAAGTGCTGGTGTCCAGCATTTGCATTTCTGAATGAACTTTATACAGAAGAGAAGGGCCAGTCATTTTGTGATGGAGGAAAAGGTCTGAGGCTAATAGATTCTTATATTTGGTGCTTTTCAAAGAGTCCTTCCGAGAGTTGGTGGTGCTGCTCTACTGGAGCCTATTTAACAGTTTGGAGGCCTCAGACTAGGTGTGAAAGACCTTCTGGAAGAGAGATTTATTCACTTCTCACGAAGTAACTGGGGAAGGCTTTCAGAAAGTCCTTTCTTGCAGGGCCTCACAGGACTGAGGCTCTCTGGACTTGGTGGGTTGAGGTCTGTTCCTGTTTGCAGGCAGGGGGATGGATAAGGTGACCCCGAAAGCCTCTCCGTGGCTGCGTGGAGGGGCCTGTGTGTGCCCCGTGACTGCCTGCGTGGTTGTTGGTGTGTGCTGCTCGGTGGGAGGCGCGTGAGAGTGGCCGCCTGTGGGTGCGTCTCAGGCGCCCAGGCTGAAGCTGAGCCCGCTGCGCCCACTTGTGGCTCCCCGGCGCCGCCAGGAGGAACCGCGCCTTTGCCGCTTCTGCCGAGGACGCCGCCGGATAGGAGGAGGACGCGAGGCTGATGACATGAGGGCGCCGTCTCCCGAGTGATGGCAGCGCGCGCTGCCTCGCCGCCTCCGCCGCTTTGCTCC